TAGTACAATTAAATGTTCTGGGATTCCCATTCTTCTCAGAGTCAGCCACAGTTTGTTATGATCCACACAGTCAAACGCCTTTGCATAGTTAATGAAACACAGACATTCCTCTGGTGTTCCCTGCTTTCAGCCAAGATCCATCTAACATTAGCTACAATATCCCTAGTACCACGACCCCTTCTAAACCCAGCCTGGGCTCCCGGCAATTCTCTGCTGATGTGCTATTCCAGCCATTTTTTTTTTTGATGATCTGTAGAATCTTGCTTGCATGTGAAATGAATGATATTGTTCTATAGTTTCCACACTTTGTTGGGTCACCCTTCTTTAGGATGGGAACAAATACAGATCTCTTCCAGTCATAAACGCAGGTTCTGCAGATAGTTTTCCAATTTTGCCAACACCATTTGTTAAAAAGGCTATCGTTTCCACACTTAACTGATTTCATCTCCTTGTCAAAAATTAGTTGACCATAGGTAGATAGGTTCTTAATTCTATTCTATTGATCTGTGTGTCTGTCATTGTACCAGTACCGTGCTGTCTTAACCACCACAGCAGTGTAGTAGGATTTGAAATCAGGGAGTGAGATGCCTCCTACCTTTTTTTTTTTCTATTTTTAAGGAGTGCTTTGCTTACTCAGGACTTCTTTCCATTCCAAATGAAAGTGGAGATAGCCTTTCCCATCTCATAGAATAATGGATTGGTATTTGTATTGGGATTGCATTGAACGTGTAAATTGCCTTTGGTAGTATTGTCTTTTTCACAATATTGAGTCTTCCTATCCATGAGCAAGGGTTATTCTTCCACTTCCCCATGTCTTTTTTTGTTTTCTTGTAGTAATGTTTTATAATTTTCTTTGAAGAGATCTTTTGTGATTCTGGTTAGATTTACTCCCAAGTATTTAATCTTGTGATTAGCTATTTTGAAGGGTACTGTTTATCTTAGCTACAGCTTTGTATTTGCTTTGTCACAGAGACACTTCACCAAAGAAGACATTCAGATGGCAAACAAACCCATGAAGAAATGTTCAAAATCCCTAGCTCTGAGAGACATGGAAATTAAAAAAACCTATGAGATATCATCTCCCCCCAGTAGCAAAATTTATCAGAATAGCAAACAACAAATGCTGGTGAAGTTGTGGAGAAACTGGAACCCTTTTATTCACTGTTGGTGGGAGTGTAAAGGTGCAGCCACTATGGAAGGCAGTATGGCGCTTTCTCAAAATGTTGCAAATAGAAATACCATTTGACCCAGCAATTCCACTCCTGGGAATATACCCCAAAGAAACCATAATTACCACTCAAGCAGATATATGCACACCCATGTTTATCACGGCTTTGTTCTCAATAGCAAAGAGTTGGAAACAACCTAAGAGTCCATCAACAAATGAATGGATAGAGAAGCTGTGGTGTAGTCACAAAATGGAATACTATACTCCATTGAAAAACAAGGAACGCATGAAATATTAAACAAAATGGAATGGGTGGCCCTGGAGGACATTATGCTGAGTGAAATATCTCGGTCACAAAAGGACACATACTGCATAGTGCCACTGTTGTAAAACAGGACTGACATCAAGGTTGTGGGGAGACTGAGAAAGATGGGGTAAATAATGTATACTGCATTGAAACAGATGAGGGAGAGAATTGTTTAAAAGGGAGATGTGATTAGGTATTATTGTCATGACAGGAGTCCAGAACGAAGACTGCATAATGTAGTGGACTTGGGGGCAGGGATTGTATAATAGTGGAAGAATTTTTCTTTTACTTTTCAAAACTAAGACTGAATAGTGGATTGGACTTGGGGGGATTGATTGTATAACAGTGAAAGAATTTTTCTTTTACTTGTCTTTTTTTTTTTTTTTCTTTTACTTTTCAAAGAGATGAGCTAACAGAGGGGGGAGGTTGGGAAGGGAGAAAAGTACAACAATGGATGAATGGAAATCCAGGTCTCTGTAAACTTGAAAATTCATTTTAAAAAAGAGTTGATGGCATACCAATTGACATATTTCAACAAACATGCTGCCCTGGATGTGCTCACTAAGTTGTGCCAAGAAATCTGGAAGAGAACCACCTGGCCAACTGATTGAAGAGATAGATATTTGTTCCCATTCCAAAGAAAGGTGATCTGATAGAGTGCGGAAATTATCAAACAATTTCATAATATCACATGCAAGCAAGATTCTGCTGAAAATTATCAAAAAATAATTGGAGCAAAACATCAACAGAGAACTGCCAGATGTACAGGATGGGTTTAGAAGAGGCTGTGGACTAGGGATATTATAGCTAATGTTAGATAGATCTTGGCAGAAAGCAGAGAGTACCAGAGGATTGTCTATCTCTGCTTCATTGACTATGCAAAGGCTTTTACTGTGTGGATCACAATAAGATAATGGCTGATTCTGAGAAGAATGGGAATCCCAGAACATTTGATTGTGCTTATGTGAAACCTATACTTGAAGCAAGTATAAAACCAAGCCGTCAGAACAGAGCAAGGAGACACTGCATGGTTCAAAATCTGGTAGGGCGGCCGCCAGGGATGTATTCTATCTCCATACCTTTTCAATCTGTATGCAGGACAGATCATCTGGGATGCTGGGTTGTACAAGGTGGAATGTGACATCAGGATTGGAGGAAGACTCATCAACACCCTGCATTATGCAGGTAACACAACCCTGCTTGCTGAAACTGAGGAGGACCTGAAGCACTTGCTGCAGAAGGTCAAGGACTGCAG